AGGTTGAAAACCTCAAAGGGCAAAACTACACTAACTCAACATAGAAACACTGACCGACTAAGATCTAGTTGGGGTGGGGTATGTACTGATCACACACACTGGATTCAGTCTCCAGTACCAGAAACAAACACAAAACCAAGTTGAGATGACTACAGAGAATAATGAATGCTAACATATTCAAATTAGAAATTATCAGAAAATGACAGAATTTATATTCTTCACCCGAAGGGGCAAGGAGGGAAAATGCAGCCCTGAAATGGACAGACTGCCTGCCACAGGAGAGTGGAATGATGTCTAAAACTTCCAGAAACACTGTAGGCATTCTCAGCAAGATATCAGAGGCAAAAACGGAATTTTCCTCTTCCCATTCTTAGTGATCCAATGTCCTCTTCCATCTCCTACCACAGTCACTGGTAGACAAGGTTAGCACGTTCGCCTGTGTCTACCCAGGGGCCCATCCTTAAAAGTATTGCCAATTTAATTGGAGCACTGAGTTCTAAAAATGAACTTCAGAACATGTACAACACAAGAAATCCTAAAGAAATAGATTTTAATCAATCTTCTTTAAAAATCAAAAATTTCAAAGGGTGATTAACTTTCTATAAGTTTAAGAGGAACCAACTGTTACTACTGCCGAAGAAAGAGTATATTTCTGGCCAGGCAGTGCTGGCGAATGCCTTAAATCCCAGCACTTGGGAGGCAGAGGCATAGGCAGGTGGACCTCTGTGAGTTCAAAGCCAGCCTGATCTGCAGAGCAAGTTCCAGGACAGCAAGGACTACACAGAGAAACTCTGTCTCAAAAAAACAAACAAACAACAACAACAAAAAAACAAACAAAGAAAAATGACATAATTCTGGTGAGAAAAGGATTTTTTGGCAATTATAAAATCCCTTGATAGACTTAAGACAGACTCTGAATATTATGGTCACATACTCTGAACTGCCTATGTATTGTGTTCAATTTCACACTAAACTCTGTCAATGCTGTAATGAGTGTTGCTAATTTTGCTATACAGAATTTTACGATGAACTTTTTCTCATCTAGGAATGCAAATAAAGAGACATGACTACGTCTAAAATATAATGATTGCAAGTTTTAGACAACTCTCCACAGAGAGGTACCACCTGGAGGGCACCTTATACTTAAACAGCCATGGAGAGATCAGAGAGAGAACATGCCCCACCTAATACACACTTAATGCAGTCTCAAGAGCCAAAGTCAAAGAGGAGACCAAACAAGCAACCAGACAAACAAAAACAGACCTCTGGGCAGAGCAATTCAGTTTGTTGTATTTGCTGACAGCAGAATAGTTTGTTCCTGTAAATCGTGTAGCCTACTATTGTATCTGAACACCTGGTCTCCTGGAGGATTTTGAGCAGGGATCAGTTCCCCACAATGCTTTTACTTCACTTAACCACTGACTCACGAGGAGCACAGCTACCACAGACCCCCAAAATCCCTGTTTCGAATACCCCAAACTTCCACCCTTAGAGTGGGAGATGATCCAAAATGAAGTTTTATTTAGCCAATTCCTATAGGAAGCACACACTAAATTTAGTTTTAATGCAAATGAGAAGTCGATCACGGTACTTAAAGCCTCTAATCTCGGCGTGAGAGGAGACACAGAAGGACTGTGAGTTCAAGGCCAACCTAGGCTTACATAGCAAGATTCGATCTCAAAAAAAAAAAAAAAAAAGTTGGAAATAATGTCATCATAAGTGGCTTTGAGTAATCAAACTGTATGCAAGCAAAAGGTCCTGTTACGGGGGTCTTTTAACATAACTTTGAGATGTTTATTAAAATGAAAACAGAAATATACCTGAAGTAATCGAGTTTACAGAAAATGTCTTTATCTTTAATGTAACAGCTTGTGTGCCTTCCCAGAGAGGTTCTGCAGACACTGCAGGAGAGACAGCGGACATGCCAACACAAGTCATTCACCTGCAAGGGGAAATAAGGGTGGGAACCCAGCCTATGCCACCTTTTGGGGGCCCCAGTCACTGGTGTGTGAGAGGCAAGAGAAAGGTCAGCCTTGTAACACATGTTCTGGATGCTTCTCCCACACACCACCGACATGAGCATGCATCTGGCTATATCCTCTTCTAGACTCCAACAAGAACCCAGACCCCTATCGGTTAACACTTGAAGCTTGGCTTTTTTGTTTGTTTTGTTTTTTATTTCTTTGAAGGCGTCAGGTTTTCTTTCATATTTATCCTCTTTCCTTTGCTCCCTGGTCAAACTGCTATGAACACAGAGAAAGCATTTATTCTAAGGTCACATACATAGGGTCTGTTTTCATCTCCGCTCTAATCCTCTCTACGGTGAAACCTGGCCGTTAGAAAAGTCAGGATACAGACCTTTTCGCTCTACTTTTTGACCAAACAGTTACAAACTGTGTAGCATTAATAAGAACAACAGAGAAAGAAAATGCTTTGTAAAATGCACTAATAGAGAAAGCAACCCATGCACTTCCCTTACACATCCGAAACTGCTAAGTAGGGCTCAGTGATGCTGTGCCTCCCTGCCTGTTTCTAACACAGGCAGCTACCAAGAACAAAGTGCCAAGGAGGAGGCTGGTGGTCACCTATTGATCAGTCTAGTTTCTGGAGAAAGAAAGGTATCCGATTATAGGTGGTTATAGAAAGCACTCAGGAAATATGTTCGCTTATACTTCCAGTAGTGAGGCAGTATTTACTAAAGCAAGCACTCTAGACTTTGACATAGGAGCAAGGAATGCCATCAGTTCAGGAAACAAAACGATCATTGCGTTTACCTGCAGCTTCTGACACCGCTAAGCACTGAACTTCAACCGCCAAATGGAGGTGTGAATTGGGCTGTGCCGGCATGCAGGGCGGCTCCCAAGTGTGCTGATAAGCTGGCATAGGGACTAACTAGGACAGGGTGTTTTAAGTCCCATAGGATGAAGATACAAAAGACACTTGGAGGGAAACAGCGGGTTTTATAATGAGTTGTGAGCCTCTTCCCAAAGCAGTGTTCATTTCTGAGGTCTGGGTCTTTCTTCAAAAGAGCTATGTGATTACTACAATTTTTTAAAAAGTTCACTGGATTAAAATGAAGACTTCCTGGAAGTAGAGATGTATTTAACTCATGTTTTGTTTTGTTTCTTTTTTCTTTTCCTAAATTGTTCCCAGTTAATACAGAAAGTCCAAGTGTCTTGAGTATTCTACTGCTTAGGGCCTTACTTCAATCACACCAGGCTTTTGTTTTCTAAAGCAGGACTTTAAAACAGGCCTCTCTAACTTCTCTACAAAAGCCAGACCTCATGCCTGGCTTGGCTTGACACCTTTCCTCATAGTTTCTTTTGAAAAACAAAAGAAAGCTCCTTAGCATTCTCTGTCTTTGCCAGGGAATAAAGGAGGGTGGGACAGATTCTGGAAAGGATTCTGGAAACCTTCCCTGAACTAGTATTAGGCCAACATGGCTCGGCACCAGGCTAGGACCACTCCACAGTGACAGGAGGGAGTTGGAAGGAGCAAAAGCTGCAGGTAACTTAGGCTGACCCCTCTTTCTGAGTCCATGTAACCTACCCCCACAGGGTGGTGTTTTTCCATAGCCCCAAAAGCTAGATCTGTCCTGGGTCAAAGTTTTTACCATCAAAAAAGTGAGATTCAAACTTAGAGCAAGGAGTTGGTGCTTCAACTGGGGGTATGGATGCTGAGAACTTAGAGCTTCTAAATGATGCTGTGGTATCAAAATTTAGTTAATTGACAAAACCTAGTAGACTGTGACTGTATGTAGAAAAGCCTTCCTAGGTAGACTCCTGTCCGATTACAAAAGGAAACTTTGTATAGCCCACTTAGATATGATTTTATGTAATAGGAAGATAAGCAATACAAGATGAAGGCCAGAATCTGTGGCGGGACCCAGATTTTACTGTGTATTTCTACATCTCTTCTGCTAGAATTAAAAGCTTTCTCAAATCCATTTCACAAACCACTCAAGATTCTGCTACTCACTGAGAACCGTGTTCAAAATAAGAAGCTAATTTTGACTCAGTGTGGATGGTTTGTGATACTCACAGTTTTCCAAGCAGCAAATTGGAAATGGGATTTTCAGAACTCAGGATTTAAAGAGAAAGCCAGGTTAGTTTGCCAGCTTCAAAAATCAAAACTGAAAATGTTTTCAGCCAAGCCCCTTTTGGTGCTTTATTTGGGCTCCAGGGTAAGATTCCCATTCCACCCAGAAGGCAGCTTTTGAATGTTGACACTAACTTAAAGAAACCCACTAATTCACTTTTTGAACTTTTACTCTCCATAATTAATCCTTCTGAAAACTGAAGCTTTGGGAAGGAGGGAGGACGGAAAGTGAATGGTTCTCAACTAATTTGGTATAGAAGGAAACATTATTTTACATAGTGGTTTTTAAAAGCAGCTGGAGTTGGAAACCATGTATTCAGATTAGGACACACATGGCATGGTAACTGCAGCCTGCCACGATTTCAACTCCACACCCCCGCCCCCACCCTCTCGCACAATATTTTTAAAAGAAAAGGTTAAACTGAATTAAGTCAGTCAACTCTGAAACCACCGTGTGAAACACTTCAACCGAGGCTCTTAGTATGTGCTCCTAAATTTACTTGGATTTGGATTTGCAAATCCCAGCACCCGCAGGACGTAACAGCTTTGTGCTTAGTAAGGTCCGGGAGGCACAGCAATGGCTTCTAAAGCCTTGTATAAACTTTTGTTTTGGGAAGGGTTCCAGGTGCCTGTAAACAAACGCAAGACCGAGATTTACAGTAACAGCCCAAACAAAAGGTGTTTAAAGTCAGTTTACAGTGCTTTTAGTCATAGAAGGAGAGGAGGCGACGGTGAATCGGTTGACATACCGACCTGGGCTATTCTACGAAGACAGCAACATAGGCACATTGGAGAGGAGGGACCCAGTTTGTAGAGCAGAGGATTTTTTTAAGTAAAGGTCCAGGCTCTAGACCTTTTGTGGGTAAACACACAAAAAAGCCCTGGCGACTGGCAGCAGTTTCAGGATCAGTGGCACTCCACCAAGC